GGGTGTGACCACGTGATCCACCTCCCCTTTCTGTGGACGGCTCCTTCCAGAGCTCGGGGCAGTGGGTGCAGAGCGTCTACCTCGGTGTCGCCGTGGCTCTGGACTGTGTCAGGAGCAGTCTTGCTTCTGTGCCTCTTGCAGAAATGACATTTCATAGTCTCACAAATGCTGATGTGTCAAAATGTGGCATTATTGTTGTTGTCGATGTTTTACTTTCAATCTTACTGCTGTTTCGAACCAGGTAATGAAAGCATCAATGTAGCCCCTTCCAGGTCAGTTCTGTCAATTCAGGGTCGTATCAACATTCTAGAAAGTAAGGATCGGGTGGGGCTCCTGAGCTGTGATGCTGGGGAAAGTGGCTCCTGGTGTTGTCTGTCTGTCTGTGGCATCCATCTTTATGAAGTTCTGGCATCTTCGGTTCGTTGGCCCTCAGTGTACATCTTCACTGCAGCCAGTGAGATGTGTGAGGTCCCATCCGTGACATCTGCTCACCATGTCTACAGGTCATACTGAGGCCCCTTTCTCCTGTGTCCTGCTCTTCTGGGTGCACTCTTCCTCACACAGCCCCTCTCTGGCCCCCTCATGGCCATGGAAACCTACCGTCAAGAAATACTTGGTGAGGTTGCCATCCCAGGGCCTCTCTCCTGGGGTCTGCTGGGTGGCCATGTCTCTTCTATGCAGAGGATAGTCCTAGAAGGCTCGCCTCAAATCAGAGTCCATATTGGTAGCAAAACACAGGTCCTCTCTGCTGCTGGGGCTGCCCCTCTGACTGGGTGTCACAGGTGCCTCTTCCCTGCCCAGGCCCCGGAGTCGGGTTGGAGACAGGGAGAGCTCCGGTAAACAGAACCTTTCCCAGGGGCTCACCTGCCTCTACCTGTTCTCCCTCCCAAAATATCATCTCTGTCGCCCTGACTTTGATCAGTACTGGATGTGAGTGTGGAGGGGGTGTGGGCAGGTCTGACGCTCCTTTTGAATCTCATAGGCCGCTCTGCTTCTTGCAGCCTTTGACCTTTTGAATTACAGTGTACCCAGCTCTTGCAGATCACAAGTCTCCTGTCTCGGCTTTAAGTTTCAAGAGCATTTTGGGGAAGTCAAAACCAAGTGGCTGACTTTTTCTGTCCTTTGTCCTTTCTGCCATCTCCCCTTTGATGTGGCCCGTGAGGACATGGTGGAGGGTGGGGGCATCTTTTAATATCTCTAATTATTTCCTCTCACATCTCTGAATTACCTCAAGACCTTGGACACGTTACTTAATTGCTTTATCTCTCTTATCTCTACGATACCAGTCCAGCCTCAAGAGTGTAAAGTAATGATTGTCCTAAAAAAGAAAAAAAAAAAAACGGAAAAAAGAGAAAATGTCTGAGGTACTCATTTCCTGGTGCCTTTACAGTGGTTGAAAATCTAAGGGGAAAACCGAGCTCTTTTATAAGCAGAGTCTTTAGGACACATTTGTCAACTAGCCAACCCTTTCTGCCTTCAGACCTGAGCTGCCCCCCCCCCCC